CCCACACACACACACACACAGTCTTCAGCACACAGTCCCTCTCCCTCTCTGGATCCAAAGTCCCCAGCCGCTTCATCATTCCACGTCATCGTCTCTGCCTCCATCTCAGGCCTCACTGCTTTTCTGGGTAGGGTCCCGCTCTCGGCTCTTCTCCGTTGACGGTCCTAGAGACCTCCGCTCCTAGAGAAACCATCCACTTTTAAATAATGTCAACAAATTTAGTAAAAATATCACTGTGGAAACAAAATAAGAGGATGAAGATCAGAGATCACAGTCTTCGGTATGGGTTACACCTCAGTGTAAATAAAACAAAAATCTTCACCACTGTACCAATCAATAACATCAGGCTAAATGGAGAAAAGATTGAAGTTTGAAAGATTGAAAATAAATGATTCTTTTTGCTGCTTGGAGTCACTATCAACACTCAGGGAGACAGCAGTCAAGAAATCAAATGACATATTAGGCAAATCTGCTGCACAAGACCTCTTTAAAGTGTTCAAGAGCAAAGATGTCAGTTTGGGAACAAGCATTCACCTGACCCAAGCCATGGTACTTTCAATAGCTTTGTATTCATATGAAAATTGGACACTGAATAAAGTAGACTGCAGAAGAATTGATGCATTTGCGTTATGGTGCTGAAGAAGATTATTTAAAGCACCTGGACTGCTAGAAGAACAAACAAATCTGTGTTGGGAGAAGTACAGCCAGAATGCTCCTTAGAAGCCGGGATAGTGAGACATCATCTCTCATACTTTGGACATACTATCAGGAGGATCAGTTCCTGGAAAAGTACATCATAATAGGCCAAGTGGAGGGTCAGCGATAAAGAGGAAGACCCCAATGTGATGGACTGGCACGGTGGCAGCAGCAGTGAGCTCAAGCTTAACAACAATGTGAGGATGGCACAGGACCGGGCAGTGTTTTGTTCTGTTGTGCACAGGGTCATTATGAGTCAGAACCAATTCTACAGCACTTAACAACAAAGCCCCAGGGCTTTGAACAGCTGCACTGGCCTCAGAGTGCGGGCTTAAATCCCAGATCTCTTCCTACTCCATCTGTGCTTTCATATCCTCATCTGTAAAATGGGTGAAATCACAGTAACATCTGTGGAGATTTCCCTATGTATCAGGCCCCTATCTTTCTAGTTATGAACATTTTCTACTTTCTCGTTGCCCAGTGAGGCTTGTGCAGGGCTAGAGAACTAATGGAAAGTGGTCCTGCCTGCCGGTGTAGGAACTGGTCTGGCCCACCTGCCGGCGTTGTCCTGGGAGTGAGTGAGCACTCTCACTCAGCACACTGCCCTTCATGGAGGAATTGTGTGTTTCTTGCCTGGTGTGGTCCATTCACCACTGTGAAAATGGCAGAGTTTTGGAGGTAGGGGTGTCTGAATCCACTGGCTGCCTGCTTTGAGTAGGCTTAGCTGGAGAGGAACAGGTTTGGTAGGGAGATGCAGAGAACCTTCCCAGCCCTCACACCCTCTGGTGGAGGGGGAAAGACAAGAGGCAGGGTCCACAAGGGGGTAGTGGGGGCCTGGCTCTGAGAGGGACGCCAGAAGAACAGAGGCACTGTCCCTGCCCTGAGATCCCAGACTGAGACGGGAAGCAATTAGCAGGGAAAGCAAGTCATCTTGGGCTTGAGTGCAGGGTGCAGGGAGGCCATAACGGGTTTATAGGCCCTGTGATTTGTGAATTTCTTTAAGAACACTCCACAGACATCAGACTCCGAGACGGGACCTGCTCCGTCTGCTTCTTATTACCCAGACCTGGTAGCCAATTAAAGGCCATTAACTGCTTGTCTTTGATCCAGGAGATGTCCTCCTGCTAGTTCCTCTCATCCCCCCATTACCCCTTCCCCTCACCCCTCCTCCTCGCTCAGTCCACAGACACGTCCCCTGACCTGGTGTTTACAAGCTCCCACTGACTTCTCTTCTCTGTTTCCTTGTGCAGAAATGGCAGTTCCACTCACGGCAGCGCCGAGAAGCCCCGAGCATGTCTTCAGGATGTAATTGCCCACCAGGTAAAGAGACCTGCAAACCAAGAGGTTGAGGCTCTCCTAGGAGGGGGCCTCACCCCATAGGTTCCTCAAAGGGGTGACCCACTGGCCACATCCCTGATCAGGCTGTTAGTTTCCATTTGAAATATGGGAATGATAATATTAGTACTGTTTACCTTCCACTTAGCATCCATATCCCATCCATCCATCCTCTACCCTCCATCCATCCAATCATTCATCCACCCCTCTCTTCATCCATCCATTCAACCCTCCATCCATCCATCCATCCATCTGTCCATCCATCCATCCTTCCATCCATCCTTCCATCCATCCCTCCACCTACCTGAACCTTTCTTCCCTCCTTCTACCCATCACTCCATTTCTTCTTCCATCCATCCATCCATCCATCCATCCATCCTTCCATCCATCCCTCTACCTACCTGAACCTTTCTTCCCTCCTTCTACCCATCACTCCATTTCTTCTTCCATCCATCCATCCATCCATCCATCCCTCCATATATCCATCCAATATACATCCATCCATGATGCATTCAACTCTTCTAAGAGTCTGACCCTGTGCACACTAGTTTGTCATGAAAGCAGCTGAGACGACAACTATGGCAGCATTTTGGGAAGTATGATGTGCTTTGTAGAGTCAAAGGAACAATAAGCCCCATGAGGGCAGCCACCAGGGCATCACATTCACTATTGTGCCTCCGGGTCCTGAGCCATAGCAGGCATACAAAAATGTTTGTTACCTGAATGAATGAATGAATGAATAACTCCATCACTCATTGTTCCATCATTGTGAACCTTGCTTGTTCACTGAACAACAGCTAGGCTAAACACATGTACACATTGTGGACACAAAGGGTAAAGGGGTCTGCAGCTGAAGGTTGAGAGTGATGCGGTATAGTTAAGTTAGTTTATCAATCTGGATTCAGAGTCTGCTTTTGCCATTGACCAGTCCTGTAATGGGCAGATCGCTTATCAAAGGTACCTGCTCTAGTATTGTGCATATGTGTGCTTTTCTCCTCTTCCGCTGTGATTATTCATCTATTTTACAGCTATATACTGATGACCTTCCCTGTCCTGGGCATCACACTAGATATTAACTTCAATTGTGCTGCCCACAGTTAAATCACATCAATAAGTTATAGTTCATGAAAACTTTTCTAAGATTCCTGACTGTTATTATTAAGCTACAAGAATGATAGATTAGTGTCACTGTTCCTTGGAACAGCTGGGATGGGCTGCTTCCCTTTGGGGTGAGAAAGGAAACTCTGAAAGAAAAAAAAAGTAGGGGATAGAATAATGCGACTATTCTGTACAATACTGTAACCGTGGACATGTGACATTATGTGTTCGTCAAAACCCAGAAGACTGTACAACACAAGGAGTGAGCCCTAATGTGAACTGTGGACTTTAGTTTAATATAATGGACCAGGGTGAGTCAAAAATTATCTATACTCTGGCTGTAGAACTTATTTTAATCAACTTTTAGAAAAGACAAAAAATCATTTTTTTGGACATTATCTCTTTGCTTTTCAATATACTTTGTCCATCTGTCAACAAGCCTTTGTATTCTTTTATTTAAAAAACGTTTTAGGCTGAGCTGTAAGCCACGAATATGCCATTGTCTTCACTCACTTCTTCATCAGAGGTGAGTCATCCTCCTCAAAGGGCTGCTTTCAGGGGACCAATCAAGTGAAAGTCCCATGGAGCAAGATCCGAGCTATAGGGAGGATACTTTAACACCTTAAAGCAAAGTTTTTGCAATGTCCACAGTGTGGGCAGAGGTGTATGGATGTGCATTGTCATGTAAGATCACAACACACTTGGCTAGTAGTCCTCTGCATTTAATCTAAAGTTTATACTTCTGCATCTCACTGTAATGAGTACTGTTGGTTACTGAACCTTTTTCCTGCTAGTGTTCCTGTACTGACCCTTGAGGATCCCGGAAAACTATAAGCATCAGTTTTCCAGCTGAGGGTTGACTTTTGAACTTTTTCTTGCTTGGTGATTGAGGATGTTTTCATTCCATACTTTGCGGTATACTCTCAGGTTCATAGTGATAAATCCATGTCTTGTCACCAGTAGCAGGTTTTTTTCAATAAGTTTTTACCTTCCTTCAAGTATTGGTCCAAATTTTGTTTGCAGATGTCCAAATGTTTCTGTTTATGCTCTTCCTCAAGTTGTTTTGGTGCCCATAGTGCACAAACTTCAAAACCGAAATCTGTCCTAGGTGGAGCCATCGCTGATTTGTAAATGATGTACCACATAATCCACTGTCACTCACCTATTCGACAGAATCGTTTCACGTGAATACTCAATGTTGTCATCAGCTGTGGACGTGGCTTGTGTTTTAATATAACCGAGTGCAGATAATTTTGACTGACCCTCGTGTTAACATTGGAATGTTAGTTATAATAAACATACTCCCCAATTTTTTGTGCAAAAAATTGTACTTTTTGTACAATTTTTCTGTAAATCTAAAACTCCTCTTTAGAAAGTGAGAGAGATGATGGCAAGGTAACACATCGAAGTAATTGCATTTAAGTTTTCCCCTGCTTTGAGTCTTTGCCAATCCTAGTGTGGCCTCCTCAATACCAGCTGCAGGCAGGTGGAGAACAGTAGAAATGGAGGGACCCTGGTCACACTTACACTGGTCCCCACGCTAGGGAAGAGAGGCCGACAGATGTTGAGCATATGGGCGGAGGATGCAGGGCCACATTCTGCTGCAGAGTGAGCGGGCTGGGCCCGGAGTCACAGTTCATGGATGCTGCCCCCGGGGAGGTGGTGAAGCTGGAAAGGGATTCAGCCATCCCCTGTTAGAAGAGGGTCATCTGGGTTAATTAAAAGAGTATCCAAAAACCCTGGGAAGCTCCCTCCTCCCTCTGGGCCCCAGGATCTGGGAAAACTTTCCGAAAAGGAATGCCAGAATTAATGAGATGAGATGAAGGTGAGGGGGGATGCGGGAGGGGCGGGTATAATGATCATGTGCTTCTGGTTCTTGAGACAACTGTTGTTGTTAGTGCCATGGAGTCGGTTCCAACTCATAGTGACCCTCTACTGGGTTTCCGAGGCTGTAAATCTTTATGGGAGCAGAAAGCCTCATTTTTCTCCTGCGGAACAGCTGGTAGTTTCAAACTGCTGACCTTGAGGTTCACAGCCCGATTTGTAACCACTACGCTACCAGAGCTCCTACTGTCCCCATACCTCTCTGGCAATTGTAATTGTTTTTGTTTTTGTTTTCTCAAGGTGTAGAATGGCTGGTTAAGGGCAGGATATTTGAAGCCACAGAAAATGAAGATTTGAATTCTAGCTCTAAACGTACCCTCAGGAGCTCTTTAACCTCTCTGTGCCTCAGTGTCCTGGGAGAGAGACGAGACTACCAGCTCCCGTAGAGATTTACAGCCTCTGAAGCCCATAAGAACTCTATTCTATAGGGTCGCTATGAGTGGGAATCAATTTGGTGGCAGTGGGTCTGGGTGCGTCCGTTCCTCTGTCTGAAAAACTAGGGTACTGCTGATGTCTAAGTGTATGGTGAGGTTTGTGAGGTAACTCTGGAAACCACATAGCACCTTGTCTGATTCCCAGTTGGTGGTGGTGTTATTGCTGTTACTATGGCTTCCTCATCCTTTGTACTTAAAAGATGCCCTGAAATCCACGATAAGCATCATGTCCCAAAGTTTGGGGACAGTGTGGCTTCACATTTATGGCTAGGCAGAGGCTTGTCCTTCCCCCTTCCCTGCCTGGCTGTGGAACCCACAGCAGCTGTCTGATGTCCTCAGTGGGGGCCTGACAGATGTCTTTGTTTCAGAAAGTCAGGCTCAGGTGCTCCTGAGGGGGCTGGGGCTCAGGAGGGAGAGGCCAGATTTGGAAACGGGCTTCATCTCCTCCTCACCTCCCAGACAGGCATGGGACCCAGTAGTTTTGAAGCTGAGGACAGAGTGTGAGGACAGGCTCCAAGCCGGGCCTCTGTGTGGTGCTGAGAAAGGAGGAATGTGTCACCAGAGAATGTCAAAGAAGGCTCCAAATTGAGGCAAAATCAGAATTGGGAGTTAAAGATGCTTTCCCAGTTCTGTGGAGAATCAGAGAACAGACGTCTCAGACTGAGGAATCCTGGGTAGAGGTATCTCCAGGGGTGGGGCTGGGCCTGCTGAGCCCTGGGTCTGCTACCTGCTGACCTGAGCTTTCTCACCCCTTAGCAAAGTATCTTTCCTAGACACCAAAGCCACCCTATTGTGAATAACCCTATTGTGAATAACACTGCTGTTGTCGCTGCCTCTATCAGAGCCCCTATATGTGCCACACACAGTACTGCCCCCAACAGAATCCCTTACCATGTGCTAGAGGCTGTTGTTAAGTGCCATCGAGTCAATTCCAACCCATAGTGACCCTGTATAGGGTTTCCAAGGAGCAGCTGGTGAGCTTGAACCACTGACCTTGCAGTTCAAATGACTTTGCAGTCTGACATATCAGCCCACAGCACCACACCAGAACTCCTGTACTGCCCCCTAATGGACTCCCCTACTGTGTGCCAGACACAATACTGACCCCTTTCAGAACCCCTACTATGTGCCAGAAGGAGCTCTGGTAGCATAGTGGTTATGAATCAGGCTGCTAACCTCAAGGTCGGCAGTTCAAAACTACCAGCTGTTCTGTGGGAGAAAGGAGGCTTTCTGCTCCCGTAAAGCTTTACAGCCTCAGAAACCCTATACAGGGTCGCTATGAGTCGGAACCGACTCCACGGTACTTAACAACAACAACAAGGGCTATGTGCCAGAAATAGTGCTACCCCTAATGGAACCCTTGTGTGCCAGACGCAGTACATACACTAAACATAGGCAGAGTAGAGTACTTGCTGACTCTGAAATGTTTGCAAGTCCTCAAATTCTTAACTAAGACAGCTCTGTCATTGCTGCACTTAAGCCCTGCATCTCCGGTCACTTCCTAGGGACAATTTTTCAGCAAGTCTTCAGACAGCTTTCTCGTTCCCAGTACTTGTCGAGGGACTTACC